ACACAAAGACACACAGACAGACACACAGACACAGAGACAGACACACACAGAGAGACACAGACAGACACACAGACACAGAGACACACAGACAGAGACACACAGATACAGACACAGACACACACATAGACAGACACAGAGACGCACAGAGACACAGACAGACACACAGACAGACACAAAGACACAGAGACAGACAGACACACACAGACAAAGAAACAGACAGTGTTCTCCTTCCTTGCCTCATGCCCTGATAAGGTCCTGTTTGGTTAATCTCCCTTCTCCCAAGGTCAGAAAAGTGCTTGTGTGCTGAGAGCCATAAACCCCAGATGCTTCTACCTAACCCTTCAGAATCACTCCAGGTGCCTCTCCCTGTCTAGGCTCTTCTTAGGCTTTCTCTGGGCTCCTTTTACATCCTGGGTTTTTTCTTGTCTCTCGTACTCTCTGCCACCCTTCCAGCTACACTTCCTTCACCCCATTTGGAAGGGTGACTACACACCTGTCATCTGACCTCCAGCTAGGTGGAGACAGACTGCAGAACAGTGGTTCCAGATTCTCCACAAGGATCCATACGATCACAGATTTAGAGGTGGAAGGAACTCTGGGTGTCATCTAGTCAGATGGTGTTTAACTCAAATATAAAGGGGGTGGGGTTACTGCGTCATAGACAAGCATCCCTATGGGCTGCACATTGACTTGGAAAACCACATATTAATTTAATCTGGGTTTTATTGTATTTTTTATTTATCTTGTTAAATATTTTCCAATTACACTCACATTGAGAGCATTATGTAGCCTACTGGCCCGGTGTTTGGCACCTCTGATCTAATCCAAGCCTCTCATTTTATAGATGAAGAAACTAACAGGCAGATTAGCTGACTTCCCCCAAAGTTGCACAGTTAGTAAATAAACAGCTGGGACTAGAGCTCTGGTCCTCGGGTACCAAAGCCCTTTTCCCCACGCCTCACTGTCTCCTAAAATGAAGAGCTTACTTGCCATGACTTGGATTTGAATGGAGATCCTTGTGGTCACAATGCAGAGCGGTTGTCCATAAAGGAGATGATCTCTGCTTATGATAGGGAGCATCAAAGCTGAAGTGTTGATTCGTATCGGTTTGCAAAAGTAATAAAGCTTATTCCTCACAGCACCTTTAAAGAGGATGGGGTGGGGAGTAACTGAGTTGGTCATAGAGTTAGAAAGGACCTTTGAAGTCGCAAGATCACAGGTTCATAGGTTGAGGACTGGATGGGACCTTGAAGATCATTTAGTCCAAACTCTTCATATTACAGATGAGGGAAACTGAGTCAGGGAGGTGAAGTAAGTGACTTACCTAAGATCACACAGTTCTTAAGTAAATCACAGAGCTGGAATTTGAATGCAGGTCTTCAGGCTCCAAAGTCATTGCACCAAATTCACACAGAATATGACAACCACCAAATATAGAAAAGAGAAAGGGGAACTTAGGAATTCAACATGCTTAGAGTTCCAGCTTGGTATAACAGAAAGGTGGTGGCTGGGTGTGAAGTCAGAAGACTGAGGTTCAAATTCCAGGCCTGCTTCTAATGAGCTTGTGTAATCATAGATAGGTTACGTACCATCTCTGAGCCTCAGTTTCTTCATCTGTAAAACCAGGATAATTCCTGTTGTTTCCAGGATCAAATGCGATAATGTGTCTCAAGTGCTTTGCCAACTTTGAAGGCTCTATTGATATTAATTGTCCTTACCTGGCCTGAGTTTCTTCATATGTAAGATGATCTATGTGGTTGATCTCTAAAGCCCTTAATGTCCAATACTCCCCCAAAACCTTCTCGCCAGTCCTGACAGTGTGTTTCAGGATTCTGCAGATTACAGAGATGAAGTCATATCCTTTCCAGGTAACCTGCTGACACATTTCTGCTCACGGAGCCAAGTAGCAATTGGGAAATTGAAGCAAAGAGCTGAGAAAACTAAGGGACATATCGCTAAGAAGATGATTAACCCTGCCACTTGCCTGGCTCCCCTGGGGCCTTCTGGCTTGACCATTACTTGTTTGCTTC